TGTATGTAGAGAATAAAATAAATATTATATTAAAAAATTAAGTTGTCATGATTTTTTAAATTGCATCTTGAATAACATTTCCAAAAAAGATTTGTGTCACGTTCAAGTTGTCAACATTCATAGAAAAGGCCTACTAGAAAGACACTGAACATGACTTCTTAATTATCTCATCATGCAATCCACTGCCCAAGAACAATTGGAAAAATGCCCCCCAAAGATCTCCCATCATCCAAATAGGAAGAAACTCCTTTATGAGAAAGAGGGGCACACAAGTAATTTGTAGGAGGCTTCCCCTCTTTAACACCATCAACAACACTGTGCAGCTAGAAAAATAACCAAGTTGTTAATTGACTAGAGCCTGAACAGGAAGCAGGGGGAAATGGACAACAAATGAATCTGCTGCAAATAGATAATGACTTCATAAGAAGGTTCTTTTACAACAGGCATTTCTGTGTGCACGCACACACACACTCCAACACTGCTGCAAATTTGGTAACAGAAAACACCGCTATTTAAAAGACATATTACTCCCAACTGTAAAAACAGACGTGTAATAGATTCTACATAAACTGACCCTCTCCTTCTTGTTTGTTTTTAATTACTGATTTTATATATATGCACTGTATTTAAAACCTGACCTGGATAGCCCAGGCCAGCTAGATCTCAGAAGCTAAGCAGGATTGGCCCTAGCAAGTATTTGGATGGGAGACTCCAGAGGAATACCAGGGTCATGACACAGAGGCAGGCGATGGCAAGCCACCTCTGAATGTCTCTTACCTTGAAAACCTCACAGGGTCACCAAAAGTCAGCTGTGACTTGATGACACTTTCCACCACCATTGTTGTTAAAAGTCAATTTTAATGTTTTCTAATTGTTCACCACCTTGAGGGCCCTAACTGGGCAAAAAGGCAGCATACAAATGTTTTAAATAAATAAGTTCAAAAAGTGAAGGAAATCCAGAGAAAAATTTAGTTCAGACCCAATGGACTGACAGGACCCAAAGGACACCAGAATTTCATAGGGAAAAAAGGCAAGTACTTGTCCCTAAGCAGTTTACAATTTAAAATGGGCAATGTAAGGGTAAGGAGGAATTAGCACAGACATATGTAAATTGCATCTACCTGAAGTCTGGTTACAGTTTGGAATGAGGATTAAGGTGAAGGCTGTGTGGAAAATGTAGGTTTTGAGGAGGTATCTGAAGGGAGAAAAATAGTACTACATCTACTCTACATGAAGATAGATTCAGGTGGGTAACCGTATTGGTCTGAATCAGCAGAACAAAGAGTCCAGTGGCACCTTTAAGATCAACAATGTTTTATTCTGCATGCACACTTGTACACAGGCCCATAGCTGTGGGGGGGTAGATTGGGGGGCAATGACCCCCACAGATGAGGGCTGCCCCCCTCAACAAAAATGTTTTGTAAGTTTTAATGGGGTTTCCAAAATGACCCCGGGACAGTCAGGGAAGCTTCAGTCTCATTTTCTTTTTTTTTCCGGCCCGAAAAATAAATAGGTTTTTTTAAATGTACATAAAATAAAATTGCAAAATGCAAAAGAGAGAGAGTCGGAAGTCCCCCCTCAGCTTACATAGAAAAGCAGCCTGGAATTTAGTCTCTCCAATCCAGAGGACTAGAGGTTGCAGCAGAGCTGAAGCGGCTTCTTCTGCTACTGCAAGAGGAGTGAAGCCAAAAGTGAGAGATCTTGGGAGGAGATGGAAGTCCAAACAAAACATCCGTGACAAAAATAACGAAGAGTCACTAAAGATATATATGCAAAATTGTTTATTATAATAATTATGATTCTGTGGGAAACTCTCTTCTTTTATCTCTCACATGCAACGGATTTTGCGCAATAAAAATACCAGTTTTACAAGGATTGCTTTTGGACCTCCTGATGGCACTGGTATTTCTGGCCACTGTGTGACACAGAGTGTTGGACTGGATGGGCCTTTGGCCTGATCAAACATTATGTTCTTATGACTTCACAATGAATTAGTTGGTTTCTAGAAGCTAAACATTAAGCCTCCACTACTGCAAGAGCAGCAGCAGGTGCAACTGAGACACCCCTTAGACTTCCCCACGCCCCACTATCCAGTCTTTTCTGGCTATGCCCCTGCTTGAATGCACACGGAAGCTTATATCCAGAATAAAATTTTGTTGGTCTTAAAAGCACAACTGGACTCAAACAATATTCTACATTCATACAATAACTGTGGAATCCATCCATCTCTTTGATTTTTAAATAATGAAGAACTAATGGAGTACTCAGCACATAAGAAGGTTGGGCAAGCAGTTGCAAGCAATGTTCCCTCTAAGCTGTGGAGTCTTGTGAGCAAAAATTCTACTTTGTGAGCAACTGGCATCAAAGTTGTGAGCGAGCGATTTGGCTACTGCATAAATTTGGTTACTCTGGAGCCCTCATTCCTGAGCTAAGGCAAAAATGTGTGAGCTGGAGGCTAGAAAACTGTGAGCTAGCTCACACTAACTCAGCTTAGAGGGAACACTGGTTGCAAGATATCATTATTAACATCTTTGTCTACATACAACTCTTCCTATCTTGTCCTTATGATAACAAAGAAAACAAGCATGAATAGACCAGTAGGGGGCAGTCTACAGTATGAATAAAGTTCTGCAGAAGCTCATATCTTGGTTTCGCCACTGTTTTCAGCTTCTACTTTTCTTTACCGGAACGAGTGGATTTATGCACATCATTATGAGTACGATTTCCTTAGAAATTCCCACATACAAATACCCATCCAGACTCACACTTCTTAACATATATCCAACTCAGTATCCAGAAAGCTACCAAACCAAATCACATAGCAGAGACAGGAAATCAACATGGGCCAATTCTCGGAACCCCTGGCTTATTAACATGTACTTTTGCTTGACTTCTGAAACAGTAAGTGCAGAAAAGCTACTTCCTGGAATCCCTGCTTCCTATTTTTACAAGTGTCCCCTTAGATCTGATTGCCAAAACAAAGGGACTTGGCAAAACCATACGGAAAGACTAGGTGTTACCAGAACCTGTTATTACCGTTATATTCTTACGGTCTACGTTGGATCTTTACATAGAAATAGCACAATTAGTACTACCTCTAGCATGCCTTTCGAACCCACTCCCACGGCTTAATTCTTTTCCTTTAAATGCGTAATTATGCCTGCCGGTTGACGCGAGCTCTGGCCCACGACAGCTGATGTCACAAAGAGTCTGCAGAATCGTGTGGCCCCTTAAGAGTTCAACCTCCTTCCCATGTCCCTAAGGCTGAGGCTTCCCAGCAGCCAAGCTCCCTCCTTCATAACTGTCTTCTTCTCTCACACGCCTGCGTCCCTGCTACCGATAGACAGTGAAAGTAATACCCCGCCCCTTCGCCAGCCTCCAAGGTGTGGCGAGGGATCCTCCCTGATGCAGCTCACCTGTGCTGGAAGGAACCATTCTAAGCGTTGCTACGACCACAAGCAGAGCGCGCAACGCTTTCATGTCTAGCCTCCAGAGCCAAAGGCGGCTCTGAACCAACTGAACGACTACCGCCGCCACGGCTCCACTTTTACCACGTGACTTCAATACAAAAAAAACCCCAGGAACGAGCTCCTGACTCACAACACATCCAGTAACGCCTTTTCGTTGCGCTGACCCGGCCTCCTTGCCAACGCATGCGCATCAGTCCCGTCCCCGGAATTTAATCGTCCACCCACTTTATAAAGATTAGAACAGGCGGTGAAAAATGGCCAGCGCCCCGCCTCATTCGGGGTCGAGGTGGTGTCGTTCTGTACAGGCGGGGAAAAATCATGTCTGTTTTGTGGAAAGTCAGTTTCGTTTTAGGCCGGAAGTGCCCATTTTAGAAAGTACTAGACAATCCTATTCCAGTTTCCGTTTGTTTGCAGGAAGGAGCCGACAGAAGAGACTAGTAACGCCCTCCCCCCGAAGCAGCAGGGATCGGCTCTTACGTTCTTTCGAATTTAGCTCATTTCGCGTGAAAAACTTTTAGTATCTAAGGAATTATGCAAAGGTATTATCTAGGGTTAACCATATTTTCAAAGGAAATAAAAGGACATATTTCCTGGCTGAGGGCTTCGAACAAGTGATCACTATGATAAATCTCATTTTAAATACTTCTACTATTTAAGCTGTGATAATTGCTACTAACTAGTAATATTCCCAACCATCCAACCCCAAAAGAGGACATTTTCATGACCTTTTAAAAAAGAGGGCGGACACACACCAAAAAAGGACATATTGTACATTAGAGAGGCTGAGACAGCGGTTTAGGACAGTCCTGTAGTCCAGTGTTGTTATTCCTACTTCCCAAGGGTGGTAGGCTTGCCAAGTGGGGGGTGGGGCGGGGAAACCCGCGGGTTACCTGCAGTGGATTGGCCGGGGAACCCCACCCCCAAAGCACGCCTCAGCACGTCACCCGGAAGTGACGCGATCCGAGGGAAAACTCTGAGTTGCATGCACTCCATTGAAATACATGACCACATGCTAAAATTACAATGAAAACATTAAATGGCTCTAGAGAAGACTGCTCTGAGCCTGGAATGACAACCCCCAGAGTGGAATGACTGCCCCTGGGCCCAGATCCACTATTCTGGAACAGGAATGTCAGTCCTCAGACTGGAATAATGGCACCTGGGACTGGAAATAGCGTTCTGGAACTGGAATGAGAGCTTCTAGAGCAGAATGACAGTCCCTGGAAGCAGCATAAGTGTTCTGGGACTGGAAAGAGAGACTTAGAGTGAAATGACAGTTTCTGGGTTTAGAATCAGTGCTCTGCGAGTTGCAATCACAAACCTTAGCGGAATAAAATACCTTATATTTTAATTAATATTTCTGAAGGTTGTGCAATTATGCCCAAATCACCTTCCCCTCAATAGTTATACTGCTGACAACAAGCACCTTGTGAGGTAAGTGGGTCAGAGAGTTCTGAGAGAACTGTGACTGGCCCAAGGTCACCCAGCAGGCTTCATGTGGAGTAGTGGGAAATCAAACCCAGTTCTCCAGATTAGAGTCCCCCCACTACACCAGCCTGGCTTTCTGTGTGCATCCTTTGGACTTTGTGACCCTGCTATGGGTCTTCCAGAGCATCTGACTGGCCAGTGTAGG